ATTGCAACATTCTCAGGACAAAAAAATAGAAAATTGCAAATATATCTTAAAGTAGTAACGGCAACCCCAACAATGCTTATATGGTTAGAAAGGAAATTTCAATCTACATATGACAGAGTAAAATATAGGATGTTCCATTTAAGTTAACAAAGTTATAGCTGTTTGAAGTTATCAAAATGCAACAGCAAAAATGAAACATCTATTATTAAATGTTTTAATTTGTTGGTATACCATAATGTTCTTATCTATGCCCTTTACAGGTACCCAAAAATCCACTTGATAGCCGCTTCTAGCATTTCCACAGACACTTGCATCTGTCAAATTTTTTTCTTAAAAAATTAATATCTCAAAATCTATAACTCCTAGGTATAGGGAATATTTAATAAAGTGACCCCCAAATTTCACGTAGAATCGGAAAATCCAAAAATATATTAGGTGTCCCATTTAAAATAACGAAGTTGGTGTAACCGGAAGTACTAGAGAGTTGGATTTGACCTTCATCGTAAGTTACAAGGGCAAACTAGGGGTAACTTAAAATCAAATGGAATAGATTATTTTTTTATGCCAGCCATCTATAAAGCCCTAAATTTTATGTCGGAATCTGGTACCAAAGATATTTTCCATTATGTCCTTGCAGGTGATTTGAAAGTCAAACTCATTTTTCACAAAAAATAATGGATACGAAGGTTAGAGAATTTAATAGACGTATTCAAAACTGTTAAAATATGTAAATAATTACAATTTGATAATAGTGTTATTCTGGAGACAGATATCTAATCAGCTGTTAGGTTAAATCCAAGGTCACCATCTATTTTTTTCAAGTTCAAATCTGTTTGACCTACAAATGACATGTAAGGACTTACAAGTTATAAAAAATCGGGTGGTCCATGTACTATTTTCAAGTTGACTAGATTTGACCTTGAAACTTAAAACCAAGGTCAAGCCCAAGGTCACTAGCATATTGGATTCTTAATATCCTACAGCTTTTATCTGAAACTTTCTTGATAGCACTCAAGAATCGTGCCTTTTTGTGACACCCGTATGTAAACAACGTTTCTACTTATTACATTTTTTTTTCTAGAGAACACAAGTCTCTGACTGGTACCGCCCGGTACATGAGCATCAACACCCATCTTGGACGTGAACAGTCTCGTCGAGACGACCTTGAAGCGATGGGGCATATGTTCATGTATTTCCTGAGGGGTTCTCTGCCTTGGCAGGGTCTCAAAGCAGATACTTTGAAGGTAAATGTATGACTTAAGATTACTTGTAGATTATATGATAGACACTGGAAGCCTTTGTTATCAAAAGCAATTTCATAGAGGGTACATCAAAGCCGTGCTCTTTATTTAAAGAATGAAAATTGGAACGGCCGACTTTAAAACTTATCTATTTAGGGTAATAATTTTCTATGCACAAAATTTATGAGTGTAGCGAGGCTACAATTTTGATTGTCAATATTTTATGTCAGAAAGGGTGCTTAAAGGTCGAATACGAATATGTATTTCCATTGTATTTTTGTTACAATTAGCAAATATATGGGCGAAGGCGAGGGAGGAATTTTATCGTTTTTGCGGGTATTTTATTAAAGTTAATATAAATTCATTGCGAGCGATATAAAATGAATTCAGCGTTGTTGTTTATTAACGTGAATATCAGGGCATTTAACTTCTGACCTGGATAAAGGAGTAATCCCCCTCAAAATTTTTAATTGATATTTATGAAGCAGCAAGAGAATTTCTTTATTAATATCTTTCCCTAGCTTGTTCTGTAGGATCCTACAAGGTGTATTTAACAACTGTAACAGAAGATCAATTAAGAACAAGTAAATTTATTATTTTTCCATCTTCGTTAGACAAAAACAAAGATTTATATGCCTTTCTTTTTTATTAATATACCGCCGGATGTTCGAAATGTGTATTGATTTAGCAATACATGGAAAATATACTACGCTAAATTTGGGGCGGGATATTAAAAAAAAGTCCATTTGGAATTGCAGTAAAATGTTTAAAAATTAACCGATTTCATCACAACCTGCGTCAGGTTGTAGGGAAGTTCCATCAATATCCATCAGTTACAACTGTTTGTATCAATATGATAAATAGTTCTTATACAGGGTGAGAAAGAAAAGAAAATTTTGTAGAATTTCACGTTAGGTCAGGGTGGGCCACCAGTAACGCCTCGGTCGCTAGTGACCAAACGACAAATGTTACAGAAACCTGTTTAGGTGGGTATGTGTAGGTTGATTACGGCTATATTTTAAAAATATTTTGAGGTATACATTGTGCCCAGGAAAAGCATACCATATCAAAGTTACGTTTTTTTAAATGGAACACCCTGTATTTTACTGCATTTTTGAAAGCACCGTAGAAAATAGGTGAGCTTTATTAAAGGTTCTGCATACCCAGGGCTTATAGTTTGTGAGATATTTCAATTTTAGTGAAAATGCAAGCATAGCGTTGAAATTTAATAATACCAATAAAAAAATAATTTTAAAGAAGCAGCTTTGGAGGGTCTATTTTAGATGCTTGAAGTTATAAATTGTTACATTTGTCGTCACTTAGTATTATACAGGGTGTTCAAAAAACTGCTGAATACTTCTCTCAACTTTAAACAGCAATAACTTGATTATTTTAAATGGAACACCCAGTATATTTTTACTTTGGGAGTTGGGAAATTTAAAACTCTTTCAAACTGTGTATAGGTTCCCTATAGCTATCTCTAACGGTATTGGAGATATTTGTGCCGTTTCGTTTTTTATCGATTTTTTTGTAAGATGTATCCACGTGTCTTTATCGAGGTCTTTGCTGAATTGATTTGGGTTATTCTTAATGATGTCTCTTTAAATATATTGAGAAAAATGAGGATGCAATTAGATGGCGCACCTGCAAATTTTTCATATTCAGGGGGAAATTATTTATATCGAAAATTTAGTAATAAATGGATATGTAGGAATGGTGTATGTCAGTGGCCACGTAGGTGTCCAGACCTCACCGTAATAGACTTCTTTGTTGCGAGCGAAAAATCTTGTATACAATGTTCCACCTATTATTTGCGATGATATTGGAGGGAAGGATTAGAGATGCATTTGCGTGAGAATATCATTTGAAGATAGAATAAGATGCTGTATTCAGGAGAATGGTTATCAATTCGAACATCAATTAAAATTTTACTTTGTTTTTTCTAAAAATAAAAGTTTCTTTTTTCATTATCATGAAAATAATCAAAAAAGTTTTTTAATAAAAAAATTATTTTATAAGCCGAATAATTATAAAAAGTTATTAATTTTGTATACATATGTTTGTAGTAAGTAACTGAATTATTTATGAACATGAAAAATATTTATTAAAGAAAATTTTACTTTTAGAAGAAACAAAGAAAAATTTTAATAGATGTTTGAATTGATAACCATTCTCTTGAATATAGCATCTTATTCTATCTTCAAATGATATTCTCACATTCCTTAGAATATTTGGGGTGATTGTGGCAAATGCATATCTAATCCTTTCCTTCATATCATCGCAAGTAGTAGGTGGAACACTGTGTACAAGATATATTTTTATACAGCCCGAAACAAAGAAGTCCATTACGAGAGGTTTGGACACCTGTGGTAGCCACTGACATGAACCATTCTTACCTACTCATTTATTACTTAATTATCGATTTATATAATTTCTCACTGAATATGAAAAATGTGCAGGTGTGCCATGTATTTGCATTCACATTTTTCTCCTTATATTTACAGAGACGTCATCAAGAAGAACCCAAACCAATTCAGTAAAGACCTCGATAGAGACACGTGGATACATCTTACAAAAAAAATCGATAAAAAACGAAACGGCACAAATATCTCCAATACCGTTGGAGATAGGTATAGGAAACCTATATACAGTTTGAAAGAGTTTTAAATTTCCTAACTCTCAAAGTAAAAATATACTGGGTGTTCCATTTAAAATAACCAAGTTATTGCTGTTTAAAGTTGAGAGAAGTATTCAGCAGTTTTTTGAACACCCTGTATAATACTAAGTGACGACAAATATAACAATTTATAACTTCAAGGATCTAAAATAGACCCTCCAAAGCTGCTTCCTTAAAATTATTTTTTTATTGCTAATATTAAATTTCTACGCTATGCCTGCATTTTCACTAAAATTGAAATATCTCACAAACTGTAAGTCCTAGGTATGCAGAACCTTTAATAAAGTTCACCTATTTTTTTACGGTGCTTTCAAAAATGCAGTAAAATACAGGGTGTTCCATTTAAAAAAACATAACTTTGATATGGTACGCTTTTCCTGGACACCCTGTATATCTCAAAATATTTTTAAAATGTAGCCGTAATCAACCTACACATACCCACCTAAACAGGTTTCTGTAACATTTGCCGTTTGGTCACTAGCGACCGAGGCGTTACTGGTGGCCCACCCTGTATATGGGTTTTTTTTAATTTTATAACTTATACGCAGCTTGCCAGTTTTTTTTGCTCACATTCATGTATGGCAAGTGACATTTTTTATTAGTAATCAGTGGTAGCGAATAATTCAAAAGAAAACACTTATTTTTATTTGTCGACGTTTCGTCAATATGTGTATGTATTGCAACATTCTCAGGACAACTAGAAACTGAATCTAGATATCTCTCAAAACGGGCTGAAAACATCAGTTTTTTTGTTGTCTCGAGGATGTCACAATAAACGACGAAACGTCCACCACAGAAAATGTGTTTCTCTTTTTGATTGATTTTACTCTATTACCTACTATTGACTGCTAATAATTCAAAAAATCAAATCTGCTAGTAACATTAATTAGCATTTTTATATTTTATTTATTTATTAGTTGAATTAAAAAATAAGTACCTGAAGAAGCAGAAAGAACACTTTATTTTAAGAACAAATGACAAAAACTTGAAAAACGAATACCACTAATAACTTATTAATTAATAATTGGAAGACCTCGTTCTAACTGTACAAGTTTTTGGTTATTGATCGGTGAAATTGCTGTGGTTAATTTGCAATTGAAATATCCTTTCTTTGGAATGCATTTGTCAATAATATTTAATTTTGAAGAAACAGCCGGCTAATTCAAAAAAATTATTAACCATATTCACTCTGTGAAATCTGGTGATATTATCCAAAGTCAGGATAAAGTTTTATTTTGTATATAAAATTGTTGCTTATAGCTAATGTTTTACTCGTCGGCATTCCTCCCAAAATAACGAGTTGTATTCGAAAATAATTTATCTTAATACCACTCCAAACAATAACAGAACCAGAATGAACATGTTTTGCCATTCTTCGTCTTTATATTTTTCTCCACGTGCATCGCCGCCTTCGTCATTCTCGAATTCTGTTGCTGTAGGAGTACAAAAAACATCTTCATTTGTTTGTAGGTGAACAGTGATCTCAGAATTTAACAATTTTGATGATCCAAACCGAATTTGAGATGTTCTCTCGTCTATTTTTGATGTCTACCTGAGACCTGCCTTGTTAAATATTACTGACAATACTTGTGTGTATATGTTCAAAAGAAATTCTCATCGAATCATAACGATACTTATGAGTTTTTCCCTTAAGAATTTTCTCACTATAACTCTATCTTCAACTTCTGTAGTCATTCTTCTCTTTTCATCATGACCATAGTCAAAAGAATTAGTTCCGTGACCACTTAACTGATCTATTGCTTTGACTGGTTGATTCATTGACTAACTGGGTAGTTTTTTATTTTAAAAATTATTTTAGAACTACTTTACAGGGTGCTGACCAAGTATGTTGATACATTTTATGGGATGATTCTTTGAGTGGTTTTAAACCAAAAGGTTAGGGCTATTCGTCTGTAGAATCATCAGACATGGACCTGTCTTGAGCGTATTCGCCCTCGACATTATGCCAGTAGAATTAAATAGTAGTAAAATTAAAATGTACATACTTTGTTGGTTATATCTCACCCACACTCGAGCGTACTTTGTACATGTTGTTGTACATTAAAGTATTCATTTTAGGAACGGTACCAGAAGATAGGTGAAACCAAGAGAACGACTCCCATCGAAGCGTTGTGCGAGGGTCATCCTGAAGAATTGGCGACCTATTTAAAATATGTTCGTAAGCTAGATTTCACTGAAACGCCCGATTATGAATATCTCAGGAAACTGTTTAAGGACTTGTACGTCAAGAAAGGGTATGCCGAGGACGGAATATTTGACTGGACAGGTAAAAACGTCAATTAGTTTACAATTATTTGACACAACTTATCAGCCGTTATTATTTTAATACAGGGTGTCCGTGTTTAAACTTGGAAATGAGCATTACCATGAGTTACTTTAATTGCCCAAATTTCATTGTTGTCATGGTAACGACTTAGAAAGTTATAATTGGAATTTGTTTTTCAAACTTCTTTCTTTGAAGGCGAATAACTCCACAACGAAGCCCGATAGGAAAATTTTTTTTATGAAATACTACATCTATTTTGACCTTCCCTCTTTACCCCTTCATTTTTAACATGACCTTTCCGGACACTCTGTATATGTCGTTGTTTAATATCCGTTGTGGTGACATTAGTGTTACCTACCATAAAATATTGCCAATATACTTTTAAATTAGTTTATTATGCCTATAATTACTAAACAATAAAATGCATCTGGTTGAAAATGTCAGCTGTGAAAACTGATTATATTAATTTCAGCATGCGATTATTTTATAATCATTTTAGTAGATAATTGCTTTTTTGATTTATATAGCTAAACACGTTTTTCCATATAATAGGTGATTTATAAAGTATGTATGTAAATTATTAGCTCACATAAAATAAAAAAGTAGGTTTTAGAATTATATTGGTCATGTTCATATATAATGTTCATACAGCATAGGGCTGATTGTCAAATTTATTAAATTGTCCTTTTGAACATTAAATTTTTAAAAATATCTGCAAATTTAGAACCCTCTTATATGAAAATAAACTTCCACTGACTTTTTACTTGACACATTTTTCACTAATTAAGTTCCTGTAGTCATAATACAGGGTGTATTCAAATAAGGAGCGCCATCCAACAACCACCAAATTTACATGTAAGAAGAAAGGATATACATATTTTCAAAACTGTTTATAATTCATATGTGCTTGCTTCATTTGTTAATTACAAAACTGTGTCACAATTGAATTCTCTGATTTACATTTACTACACAATACATAAGACAAGGTTTTAGGTAATATCAATTTACAGCAAAAGGGTTTTCTAGAGTACTTTTTATTAATTTTAATTAATTGAGTGAATAATTCAACAAAACCATGATAATTTTGTCTAATGGAGCAGAGAATATTTTGGAAGAGATTCCAGTCATCATAATAGCATGTTCCTGGAGTTGAACTGAATTTTATATGCCTTGACTATGTCAAATTTGAACACATATGGTTTAGCAGTTACAAAAAAATAATCTGAATTCATATACTCTATCCTCAAGATTATGTATCTTGGAGCATTTGTGCTCTTTCATTTAAACACGCATAGAAATATATTTTAATAGAAAATTTATGTTAATAAGCATTTATCTTCTTTTTTTTAGATCGCGTGTCCTGGATCAACACCGATGAAAGAAGAGAGTCTTTTAAAGCTGAAACCAAACTAAAATAAGTATTATTAATAATACATTAGCTTGTTTCTTAGGAATTTTCAAGACGTGATGTGTAATGTACTGTTAAATTTGTTAAATTACTTAAATACATTTTGACATTTTTAACAAATGTGTTGTCTAGTTTTGTCCATGTTACTGTCACTATCTTATAAAAAAAACATCTGTCTCTTGGCTTACAGGAAAACAAGTTGGTTGTAACAAAAATACATCTTGGAGCTTAAATTACTTGAAGTATTTTCTTGTAAAAAAAAATATTCATAAATATTTGTCTAATCTAAATTTGAGAGTGAATTTGCTAAATTTAAAAAATATATAATTCCGTAAAAGTAAGGTCGTGGTTCATGCTTTTATACCAAGTATTATTTCTTTAATTTTTTTCTCATTAAAAACTCTCTTTTTGTATAAACAAAATCAGCCAGATTATGCCTTCTTTGCAATACGGTTCTACAATTTAGCTTTATTTTTTGTTTTATCCGAAAAACGTAACCCGGCAGGAAAAAATGTATTTGTTCTTTAAAATTGAATTCTGTTTCAGATTTTTATTTTTCGCCTCCTGGTATAAAATTCGGCATGCTTTTCTATTATAAATTCTAAATTAAAAACCATCTGCTAATAACAGAAAAATTTAACTTTTTATATAACTCAACAGATGGGGCAAGAGTATTTTATATCGATCACGTTTTATTCGTTAAATATATTCATTGCAAAATAAATATGGTCCAATAATACTAGTTAAAATCTCACTAATATTCCAAACCATCAGAAATTTAATTAGTAGATAATCTTGGTAAATTGTATTATGTAAATATTTCGTTTGAATTTGAATAAAGTGCACGCTTATAATTCGAGTACGGTTACTATAATTGAGTTGGGAGAGGGAGGCTAGCCGAGTCAACAGCAAAAAGTGAGGATATGGATGTTGATATCGGCAAAAAATATTGATAAATTCATATGAGTATTTGAAAAATATATGAGTACCTCTTATTGCGTTTTTAATATACGTTATACGTATATACAGGTGTGGTGTGTGTAATCTATAAAAATCAAATTACAGCTTCTTAACCATATTTGTAATAGAAAAGTCTTATACGCAAAAGTTCTAGTTTTGCTTTTTTTTTCGTAAATTAAAGTTCAACTATGAATCAAAATATTTTCTCTGGAACGGTCCTGTCCGTGTGCTGTACGAAAAATACTTCTCAATTTTTGGAGAATTTTTCAATGCAAAAGTACAAATTTAGAAAAATAGATATTTAAAAAAAAACTGATATTTTCTTATTATAATAATTAATAGTAATTACTATCTTAAATGCACTGTTGTTACTGCAAGAATTCGCAAACAAAACCACATCCGTAAGCATCTGTAGTTGCCAACTGCGTGCACTAAACAAACTACATTAAAATATGGAACAAAATGAAATAAAACTTACCATTTCTAGAGAAAGTTTTAAAATAAATCCCTATTAGGGCGGATACAGGCATGGCACCGACGCACCCAATTTTGGCGAATATTTTCCCAAATTCCAGGTATTCCCCTAATTGTGTCAGTAATTTCAAGTATACGGTTTCGCAATTCTTCCACCGTAGTAATTGGAGTATTGTAAACCAATGACTTCAACTGCCTCCAAAGATAAAAATCCTTTGGAGTCAGATCGGGTGACAGAGGTGGCCACGGCACAAGACCAAAGCGTCCAATCTATCGCTGAGGAAACATTTCATTCAAGAGTGTCGTTACTTCTCGAGTACCGTGTGGAGGAGCCCCATTTTGAAGATAAAACATGCGTGCCCGAACTTGTATTGCCACATCGTCCAATAATTCAGGCAACTGGTTCTCCAAAAAGTCAGCATATGTTAGTCCATTTAGTCATCCTTCAAAGGAATAGGGACCCACAAGTACATCGCCTATTATGCTAGCCCAAACATTTACCGAGAACCGATGCTGAAAATGAGTTTCCCTAATCGCGTGAGAATTTTCATCGGCCCATATATGCATATTATGGAATATTCACTTCATCACGGGTAAATGTCGTCTCATCTGTTACACAAACATAAACAGGAAAGTCTACTTGATTGGCACATTGCCGTAAAAACCATCTGCAAAAACGCATTCGTTGATCAAAATCTAGAGGTAAAATCTGTTGAAATGATTGCAGATGATAGGGGTGCAACAGCTGGCACCTTAAGATGAGATGTACGGTACGAGATGAGGTTCCTACTTGCTGTGCGAGTCGTTGAGTACTAATTGTAGGGTCTTCGTCAAGATTTTCCAACACTGCATCTTCAACATTAAGGTTCACTTGCTGACCACGTCCTTCTCCTTGAGGAATAACACTTCCCGTATCTCGCAGCTGCTGAACGAACTATATGATTGTATTTGCACATGGGGGGGTGACGTTGTGGCCATCGTTCCCGGTACAACCTAGTCGCCGCGAGCGCATTTTCTCAGGCTGCACCATACACTAACACCATATCGACACGTTCGGAAATAGTAAATGCATTGTTTTCTCGGTTCATTGTAAAACTAGTTTATGCACAAACTAAAAAATTAAGCAAAGTAAGTAATAAGAATCTCATATTTAATGTAATCGGCACGCTATTCCTATTTTTTACTTCTTTATAAAATTACACCGTCACTATCGTGGAATTACAAAATAAAAACTTTTGTCTTGAATCTTTCACTTTTTAACATTGATGGTCGATGGACGATGCTTAATATTTAATAATTAAGTGAGTAATGAATTCATTACAAATACAAATTCAGTTGACTGAACAAATTTTTTGACGATGTAACCTAACTCTTTTAGTATTATTAGTAGATTATACCGACCTAAATTAAAAAGGCGGTTTTCCACTAAACGAACAAAACAAAACCAAAACACAAACTTGTGTCGAATAAAACAGAACTGTAATTTTTCGCAAATTTTTTGAAGACTGGCCTGTTTTGCGATAGTTGGAGTTTTGTTTTTCGGGTCCCGCTCGAAAGCGGTCACATCAAAAGGTTTTTAAGGATACTTGGCTAGTATACAAACTAACTAACTAACCAAGTAAATACTTCAACCGTACATATGTATATACACTTACTTTTTTTCCAAGGACTTCAGTATAAACCAGCCATAACTAAGAATAAAAACATATTCTCTAAACATGTTGGTTGGTTATTGGAAAAATGTGTTCCGACTTCTTTGCGACAACCAGTGGAAAATGACCGAAAAGAAAAACAAAACTCGAACAAAATGTAGCCCGCTGATGGAAACAAGAGTTTTAGGTTTGTTTCAGTTTTGTTATTATTTTTCAGGTTCTAGAAAACCCAAACAGGACATAAACTCAACTGTCTTTTTAGTGGAAAACCGCCATAAGGTTGCATCTCGGGTCGCATAAAAACATTTCCAAAGTTTTTAATAAATAACACAGGGTCGGCCTTCATTTTCGTTGAATAAATGACCTTTAATTTACAAAAAAAAAACTCGAAGAAGTTTTCTATTACAAATATAACAAGAAAGCTGTAGTTCAATTTTTATAGATTATACACGCCACACCCTGTATTATTAAAAATGTATTCCATAACTAACTTTATCTTTGTCACTGTTATGGTTTTAGAGGGATAAAGAATATTATATACCTATAGATCACTACGAGCTAATTTTCGTAAACCTCTAATACAAAAGTAGGTATACCATGGAAGTGGAATTGGCTATGAATTACCTCAAAATCTCTGAAAATTAAAAAAATGTCGCATTGGAAAGTTAGACTTTAACCTTTACTCTAAAAATTAGTATTGGATGTTATATTTCAGTTGATACCTTGTTACAATTACAAAACTTGCTATTGTCTCCCTTGCTATTGTCCTCACATTTAAAAAAAACATTAAATAGGTTGTATTGCAGTAACAACGTAAGTATCTAATGAAGTAAATGATTAAATTCTTAGAGTTTGTTCATTTTCTCTTCTGATGGGACGTATCTAGAGTATAATATGACAGCAACAAGCTTACGTATTATAGTTTTGAGCCAATGATCCCCACGTGTGGTAAAGTGGAGATAAACTTGGAATGACGAACTATACACGGCTTACCAACCGGATTATATGCTTCCGTCATTGTTAGATCCATAAACCGTGCTTTGCTGGAGCTAGAGTCTCAATTATAACGGCAAAATATACGTTTTCATTATACTTCATGCCAAACATGGCGAGACGCGGAAAAAAATAAAGTAAGTACTAATGATGGAATTAATACTTTTCAACGAAATATTATTTTTAAATAACAGTATTCTGTTGTAAGCTGATTTAAAGTATTATTTTTTTTTTAATGTAGAAAATGGAAGTTAATCAAGATTCATACCTTTCTAATATCTTTATTTACTAAAGTATTTTAATGAAAAATTGTGTATTTATTAACCAGATGTCTTTTTTGAATCTTTATACTGGATAATCCACAAAACTGATCCAATTACCAACAGAACGAAACATTCCTTAGGTACCTTTTTTCCATTTCTACATTTTGTACTGAAGTCTGCAATATTTTTATGAAAATCTTATACCCTGCTAACCAGATGTTTTTTGCAATTTATGTACTGGGTGTTTCATAAAACTGACACAGGTGGACTAGGTTTTTCCTTATTCATTTTGTTTATTTTTTTTAATATTTTGAAGGAAAGTTGTATATTTACTGACCACTCGTTTTTTCAAAATCCATATACTAGATGTTCCACAGAATTGACCCAAGTTCGAATTACGGGCAATTTTTTTTCTTTTCACTTTTAACTTTGTCTTTATTTACTACAGTCTTAATGAAAAATTGTATATTTATTAACCAGATATCTTTTTTGAATCTTTATACTGGATAATCCACAAAACTGATCCAATTACCAACAGAACGAAACCTTCCTTAGGTACCTTTTTCCATTTCTACATTTTGTACTGAAGTCTGCAATATTTTTATGAAAAATCTTATACCATACTAACCAACAACATTTTAACATCGTGATATGATATTTATGATATT